TGAATGAATCATCGGGTATTGCTCTCTTGGAACCTCCACATCTCCTTCAAACCCCAAAAACTCCATCCGTCTTTCAATTAGCCATAGAATCTCGTGATTGGCTGGATTCCAATGTCGAGAACACCTGGTGGAACACTTTAAACAGTTATGAGCTGAAGCCTCGCTCAAATTTTCCTCAGGCGTATCTCTGCAAAATTTATAATAACGAAATTCTCAATAACTCTAAATCTACGAGATTAATGATTGAAGTCACTGAGTACCAAGCATGTAGGGAAATTCTCTGGATGTTCCACGTGCCCATGGAGATGACGATATTCCAAAAAAAGCCAGACAATTCTTTTTGTGTGAAAGACAATGTTTCAATCATGAGTTTAACTCCAGAATCCTTTAATTCTGCATTCTCCACTTTCTGCAAATACTTCGACATGATTAATCGAATGGATCTGTTTGAAAAAAGTATTTATCATATTTATGAAGAGGGAAGCCCTCCGCCTTTAACTCTCGAAGCGTACAATTCGGCAGTTAAAGAGTATTATCGGGATATTAAAAATAAGATCATTGAAATCGAACGAAGAGTCATGAAGCAAAATGATATAAACACATTTCTAACACTTTCGAAAGACCTTGAAGTTCATGCAGAAAAATTGAGGACTCTCGATGAGATTCACCGGTCTGTGGTACCTACGGAAAAAGAGGATACGAATTGGAAAAAGTCTTATAAACTACTCTTATCGATTTACACGGAGATGGAGAACTCGAGCAGTCGAAAACGCACAAATCTGTGTGCATCTCTATATCTGTCATCATTGAAAGTATATCTCAATATTATTGATACATGGCTAAGTGAAGGACGTCTGGAGGACTTTAGACATGAATTTTTAATAGCCAAAGTCAAAGGGGAGAACTTTGGAGTTGAGAATAATGAGGGAAATGAGAATTCTTCGTCCTCCTGGAGAATTAAATTCGTTATCATTGAGAGTGCAGAGTCTGAAACTCCAGATCCAATTATGAAGAAATTATTCAGAAAGGTCAAGGATATGGGTAGGAGTATAGAATTGCTAGTGACGTTGGACAGAATATCTGATATGTGGAGAACTAATACTAAACAATTTGAAAGGAGAATTCCGCTTTGTGAAGAATTTACTAAGAGGGTCTTGGAAGAATTGGAGAAATTCGGAGGGGTAGATGAGATTGATGAAGTTAATATCATTAGTGAGAGTGATTCTGATGTTGAAGAGCCACCTGAACAACGATTCTCAGAGTTGGAGGACAACATCAGACAACAGGTGCTCAGAATCAATAACCCATTTCTTATGAAGGTCTTCCAAAAGTATTTGCCTCCAATTAGCGTTGATACTATTGATAGTAAAGAGGATGGAAATACCGAAGATTCTGAGAAATCGTCTTGGGGAACGGGAGTGTTTCGAAGATTAGAAAAAATTTCTCCATTCGTTTTACCTTTTAGAAAAGTTCTTGAAGGAGTTGTCGATGAGATCCTCGATAGGAGGTACTCCTGTGCTACTAAATTGGTAAAAGATATATTGATTAATGAGTATAAACTGGAGAACCACCTGAGATTGATGAGATTCGTATTTATGATGGAACGTGGTCATGTGATGAAGAGGTTTTATCAAAAAATGTTCAGTGATATTGAGGGGAATGTTTCCGTGAGTAATCCAGAGAGTTTAACGCATTTGTTGGAGGAAGTGTTGTCGGATGAATGGAGAGATTCTAATTCTCACAATCGATGGTTTGTTTCATTGCGAGATACTTGCACTAGACAGGTTTTACAGGCTAT